TTAAATTTCGATTTTAAATTCCTTTTTTATCGTCAATTTTTTTTTTTTTTTTTTTTTTTTACCCTCTTAAAAGATGGCTAGATAAGGAGAAGGGAAAAAAAAAGATTCGCAAAGATTGCATCATCTTTTGTGACTATAATCGTCGAGTTTGCATTAATATCTGTAATTTTTATAGATTTATTCTTTATTTATTTTGTATAGACATCTACCATAGACCATCTTACGTATACACATTCTTGTGTCCCTTTTTTTCTTCTCTTTGCTTGAAATTGTGAGTGAATGTTCGAGTTACAGAGATTGTTAGAGAGTGAACGAATTCAGATGCAAGAATACTCGTAAAATCTCGAAGAGAACGTGGCTCGTTGCGAATCAAAATTCTCATAAAATTATAAAAAAAAAAAAAGATATTTCTAAGTTATTCCTTCGATTTACCTTTCATCGAAATTTGACTTGTCGAAATATCAAAGGAAATAAAAAAAAAAAAAAAGATATTTCTAAGTTATTCCTTCGATTTACCTTTCATCGAAATTTGACTTGTCGAAATATCAAAGGAAATAAAAAAAAAAAAAAAGATATTTCTAAGTTATTCCTTCGATTTACCTTTCATCGAAATTTGACTTGTCGAAATATCAAAGGAAATAAAAAAAAAAAAAAAGAAAAAAACGATTAACAACACGATAAATAAGATGAGCAAAAGAAAATGTACTTCGCCTCGTCGTTGATTCGAATGCACGCTCGCGAGGAGCCAGTATAAAGTATGAACAGAAGGGATATTTAAATGTAACGTGTATTTAGTTCGTAGTTCGCCTCTATCCTCTGTTTCTTCAATTAGAAAACAGCGAGACCGAGAAGAGTTCCTCTAACTAACTCTCGCCAAAGCAAGAGTCCCATTTATCTTTCTCTGTTATGTCGATCCTGTATCGAAGAATCCTCGTAACGTGCGAGAAAGACACGTATTCTCTCGACGAAACAATTATCCTATAAGTTCCTTTGAAATAGGACCCAAAGAATCACGGATCGACGCCACGGGCCGCAAGATCAAACTCTCTCTCACCCTCGTCGTTCTTTCTTTTCTTCGACTTCATTATTATTCTTCGATTCCTCCCCTTTTTAATCTATCCTTTTCGCCTTCTATCTATCTATCTATCTATCTATCTATATCCTGTATCATCCCTATTTCTTTTCATTCGCTATTCATATCTTGCGTTTCCATTTCACCTCTATTCTCTGTCCTGTTTTTATCGAAGAAATTACATGTTTAAACTGTATATGCATTTAAAGTAATAATATTAATGATAATGTTTAATATTAATATTAATGATGATTGTAATTTATAATAATATTAATATTTAATATATAAGTATCTAAGAAGATAATGGTGAATCTACTTGTTCAGTACCGCGGGATTACGGTCCAATCGCTTTCCGGCGACCACGCTGCCACATCTATTTGTTTTCTCGCAACATTGTTCTATTTTTGCGTTATATTTTATTGCATTCTTGTTTGCATTTAATATTCTCACGATATTCGATCAAGGAGAACGTTATGTAAAAGTATTATCGTTTGTTACGATCTTACGTAATTCAATGTTTTAAATTGTTTTAAATATATATATATATATATTTGAACCGCTGTTAGTTCCTATTGAGATCATCAATTAGAGAGGGAAAAAGACGGTTGATCGAGCAGGAGAAGCGTGGCTTCCGGAATGCGAAAACCACCAATTGTTTTCCTAACGGAACAAGTACAAGTGTAATCTGATTAAAAAACTGTTAAAGGGACTATTAAGAAATATTTGACGAGTTTCTAAAGACGTTATTCTACATTGCGTTACGAAAAGATAAATAAGAGATAATTTCTTGAACAATAACGTTCGAAATCAGTTTTTTGATATCACTCTTTTCGACTAATCGCGCTTATGTCACACGCCTCCATATCCTCTAGCGACCAATTAGGCAAAAAAAAAAAAAAAAAAATAATAATATAATGATAACAAGATATTAAAAAAAAAAAAAAAACGATCTTTCCTCCGCGCCAATACGAGACGAAGGCCTTCTTCCTTCAATATTTTCAATGATTTTCAATGAAATTTCGAAATGATGCACATGAATACCATTTTTAACTGAAACGAAGAATCTAATTCTCATTGTCTCTTCGTATCTAGCATTGCGAAACGGCGGCGTTCAAAATGAAGGAAGAAGGGTACTTAAATATTTAACGAGAAAAAAAAAAAAAAAAGAAAAAGGCTAAAAATGGAAACATAAGATCTGTGCTTTTTGTATTTTTCGCAATTCCGTGGCCTCTCGGAGAAAGTTTCTCGTTTTTGTATTTCGAAGCCTCGAGCCACCGAAGCAATATGGTTTCTTATTCTTTGTATACAAAAAAAAATATACTATAT